CCTTGGGTCTGGGAAGCAGTTTGAAAGCTGCTTATTGGATAGTTTGGAAAAAGAATCCTTCCAAGTGGCTTTGGGCTCTCCTGTCTGTGTCCTGTCCTTCCTCTTTTCGTCCCTCATCAGGGTGCCTGGCACTGGGGCCCAAGGAAGGAGCCAGGCAGGGTCCCTGACCTGATGTTGAACCCTCGGGCCTGTCCACCACCCGTGAACTTGGATGTTGCAGAACTGGCCAGGGCTTTGTCTGGATGCCCCGCCCATGGAGGTGGGCTCCCCCAGAATCATGCCCATCCCCATCCCAAAGTCCAGAGCGTTGGCAGCAGTCCTCCCTCCCCTCCACACTTGAGCAGGCAGGGAGGCCAACACTGTAGCCACACCCTCCACAGAACCCCTACCCTAAAGGCCCATAGTGCTGCCAAGGATGGCAGTGTGCCCTGGCACCCGGCTCCCACCAGCCACGCTGGCCCCGGGAAGCCAGAATGTGTGATGCATGGCAGACAGCACTTCGTGTCAACTCCCCAGATGTGGGCTCTGTCACCCTCTCTCAGTACTGGGTCCTCCTCTGCATGGAAAGATGATGAGGAATTTCCCCTTTGCCCTCAAGATTTTTTCTGAAATGGTTTTAATAAGTACATATAATTTTACAATGAAACCCAATAAATCAATTTTGAAAAGACAGTATCTGAGGTCCCAGCCCCCTTCCTCTCCCCCAGAGAAGCCCCTGCTTCCCCTCCCACCAACCTGGATTTTCTCAGAACCACAAGCTCCCCCGATCTAGCACTGTAGCTGTCCTTGGCAGTCCTTTCTGCTGTCTGACCAATGTAGGTCATGCTGCAGTCTCTGAGGTAGAGCAGCAGCCTTCCCACATCCTCAGAGCTGGGGGATCTTACCCCAGGGTCCCACTGTGAGCTGGCCCTGAGAGGGTCCCTGTCCCCCCAAACTCTTAGCAGCTATATCTCCAAAAAGCCAGAAATCTTAGACACTCACCAAGAATGGGCTGCTGCTGGTCTCAGGTAACCAGATCAGGGCCAAGTGCTGTCCCCTCTAAGGGCTCCCAGCAGCCTAGTCCCTCACAGTGGCCAGCACTGAGAAGGGAGGGGGCAGAGAACAAAGGCTAGAGCAGGGCAGGGCTGCATTTCACCACCTGCCACTGGGCTGAGTCTGGCCTCTGTCCCGAACTCCCTCTGTGACCCCAGGTGAGTCCCTGTCTTTGTCTGAACCTCAGTTTCCCATTTGTAAAGTGGGAAGGACATCTGTCTCACAGTCTCCAATTAGCCAATTAACAGAGAGGCCTTATCCCTGCCCAGTGCCTCAGGCTGTGAAGGGACACTGGGTCCTCTTTTTGTGCAGTCTAAACCCCTGGACATGCTGAAGAGGCGACTCACCTTGACCCCTTTCTCTCACTCCAGCCTGGAACCCTGGCACCCACACCTCAGAGGTGGCCCTGGGCACCCATGGCCAGCCACAGAGCTGACACCACCCTGTTTGGTGCTCGAGCCGCAGCCTGTGGTGGGGATGGCTCTGGGAACCGTGGCAGGTGGCAGGCAGCAAGTTGCACTGGGTCCTGCCTCCAGTCCTGCTAAAAAGAAGCAGAATCTGCCACCCTTCCTGCCGTTGGGCTGCAGTAAGTTCTTCCAGCAGATTCCCAGGAGGTCCCAGGCTGGGGTGTGCATGAGACCTCTCTGCCCACCTCTGTCTGCCAGGCCTGGTCCCAGCTTCCCAGCCTGGGGTTAGCCAAGGATGGGGGTGCCTTGGTCAGGAGTGGCTGCCAGGGCTGCCAAGCCCCGCTCAGGGGTTCATTGTAGAGGCTGCACGGTCTCAAGGTCAGCTCAGGACAACCCTCCAGGCCAGAGACCATGGCTGCAGGAAAGGGAGGGGCTCTCTAAGGGAGGACCCCCGTAGGCCACTATTGCTGTCACTGTGGCTGAGGAATGCCACCTGGACGTCAGCCAGACAGGGGAAGCAGAACATGCCCAGACCTGGTCCTCAGACCTGGGTTGGAATCTTGGCTCTCCCACTGTGATCTGGGACCAGGCTGCCCCCCGGGCCATCAGTGTCCTCACCTACAAAACGGCGTCTCACCACCTCCTGTCCAGGCAGTCCCAAAGATTTGAGGAGGGGCTCTCCATGAAAACATATCAGTATCTAATAGAATATCCAAGCATATACAAAGGTGGAGAGGATAATTTAACAAATCCCCACATACCTAGTACCTGTCACCAAGCTTCAACCAATATCAACAACCAATGTCAACTCATGGCCATGCCATGACTATGCCCACACTCTCTCCTTTAACCTCTGGATTTTATGTTTTTATTTTTATTTTTTGAGACAAGGTCATGTTCTGTGGCCCAAGCTGGAGTGCAGTGATGTAATCATGGTTCACACCAGCCTCGACCTCCTGGGCTCAAACCATCCTCCCACCCCAGCCTCCCAGGTAGCTGGGACCACAGATACATGTCACCACACCTGGCTAATTTTTTTATTTTTTATTTTTGTAGACAGAGGGCCTCACTGTGTTGCCCAGGCTGGTCTCAAACTCCTCCCACCTCAGCGTCCCAAAGTGCTGGGATTACAGGCATGACCCACTGTGTCTGGCCACCTCTGGGTTATTTTAAAAACAAAGCTTCAGCATTACTCAGTATACCCAGGTAATAAACCTGCACATGTACTCCCTGAATCTAAAATAAAAGTTGAAAAAGAAAAAGAATAAAAACAAGGCTGAGACATCATATGATCTCACCTTTAAATACTTCGTAATGAATTTCTTAAAGATAAAGGCTTAGAAAAACCATAACTGCAATACCATTATTACACTTTAAAAAGTTAGCCGTAATCCCTTAGTATCATCAAATGTCTGATCAGAATTCAAATTTCCCCCAGTTGCTCATAAATGCTTTTTACAGTCAGTCTGGATTTGAATCAAAGGTCAACACATCATTTGGTTGATAAATGTCTAAATTTCTTGAAATCTAGAGATTGCCCATCTTTTCTTGTAATTTTGTTGCTGTTGAAGAAGACACTGGGTTGTCTGTTCTGTAGAATTTCCCAAGCTGGATATTTGTCATTGTTTCCCTTGTCTTTCCTGTAAACTAGTTGTTGAATCCAAGGAATCAGATTCAAGTTTGGTGTTTTGACAAAAACAATGACTAGTTGGGGTTCACATGTCTGCAGGAGGGTCTGTCTCCTGAGTTGAGCAGCAAGTTCAGGTGCAGTCAATCTGATACATTTATTAACGAGCTCCCATCAGGTAAAAGCTCAAACTAAAAAACTCTTAGACAAGGCTGGGCACGGTGGCTTGTGTCTGTAATCCCAGCACTTTGGGAGGACAAGGTGGGTGGATCACTTGAGGTCAGGAGTTTAAGGCCAGCCTGGCCAATATGGTGAAACCCCGTCTCTACCACAAATACAAAAAATTAGCCAGGCATGGTGGCAAGCGCCTGTAATCCCAGTTACTTGGGAGGATGAGGCAGGAGAATTGCTTGAACCCAGGAGGTGGAGGTTGTAGTGAGCTGAGACCGTGCCACTGCATTCTAGCTTGTGCAGTAAAGTGAGACTCCATCTCAAAAAACAAAATAAAAAAACCTCTTAGACAAAAACATAGATTGGCGTGAGCAGTGGGCAGAGGCCAGACATCTGTCTCACAGTCTCCAATGAGCTGATTGACAGAGAGGCTAACAATAGAATATTATCTAGGCTTAATTGGAGGCACAGGGGAGTGGTGGATTTATTTATTTATTTATTTATTTATTTACTTTTGAGACTGAGTCTTGCTCTTGTTGTCCAGGCTGGAGTGCAGTGGCATGATCTCGGCTCACTGCAACCTCCGCCTCCTGGGTTCAAGCGGTTCTCCTGCCTCAGCCTCCCTAGTAGCTGGGATTACAGGCGCCCGCCACCATGCCCCAGCTAATTTGTGTATTTTTAGTAGAGATGGGGTTTTGCCATGTTGGCCAGGCTGGTCTCGAATTCCTGACCTCAGCTTCCCAAAGTGCTGGGATCCGCCTGCCTCAGCCTCCCAAAGTGCTGGGATCACAGCTGTGAGCTGCCGCGCCCGGCCAGGAGTGGTGGATTTCGATTTGGAAAGATCGCTCTGGGTGCTGAAGGATGTGTTGGAGAGCGAAGCCAGATGCAGAGGGCTGAATGCTAGCAGGTTCCATTTATATGGCTTTCTGGAAGGGGCAGAACTAGGACAGAAAGGTTTCAGGTTGGGGAGGAGGGAGCAGGGTTGGTAGTAGGGGACACAGGGACTCGTGGGGGGCAATGGGGCCATTCTGTGTCTTGGTGGTGGGGCTGGATGCATAACTGTGTACATGCTGCGGCCAACGGTCCCACCAGCTAGTCCAGGACCAGCGGAGGACAAGCATGCTGTTGGACTCATCTGCGACTCCCAGGCCCTGTTAGTTACCCCTCTAGGCTTAGACTGTCAGAAAATCTCTCTGGGATGATGGTCTCTTGTCCATTCACTTAGCAATGACTGGGCGCCCACTATGTGTCAGGCTGCATGGTGGGCACTGGAGACTCTCAGATAACCATGACCACTCCTGCCCTTGAGGAACACCCAGGCAGGCAGGGACATGGCCTCGATCCATTTGACACTTTCACCAAGGCCTCCACAGGTGCCCACCTCTCTGGGTCTCCCCCCCACGCCTTTTTTTTTTTTTTTCCAGACAGCGTCTCACTCTGTCACCCAGGCTGAGTGCAGTGGTGCAATCTCAGTTCACTGCAGCCTTGATATCCCAGGCTCAAGGGACAAGGGATCCTCCCACCTCAGCCTCCTGAGTAGCTGGGACTACAGGTACCCACCACCACGCCCGGCTCATTTTTTAATTTTTTGTTGGGATAGGGTCTTGCCATGTTGCCCAGGCTGGTCTCAAACTCCTGGACTCAAGTGATCCTCCTACCTTGGCCTCCCAAAGTGCTGGGATTATAGGCGTGAGCCACCACGCCCAGCTCTGGTTCCCTTCTTGACTTCAGCCAGCCAGGCCTTGCTAGACAGAACTCATAGGTATATCAAAAAATAATCTTTATTGTCACTGGTATAAAACAGAGCAGATCAACTGGCCTCTCAGTCTGTACAGAGTGTGGGGCATGAGACTGCCTGGGCTGCCCCCAATTCTCCCATAATGCCCTGCCCTAGAGCAGCAACTCCGGAGCTAGGAGAAGGGGAGGGGCCACCCCAGGCCTTCCCTTGAGGAGAGGGGTCAGGAGTGAACTGGAGCAGGGGCTGGTTTCTACCTGAGGGAGGCAAAGAAGCAGAGGAGAAAACTGGAGTGGGGGAACCCTTCCGCTCCTCATCCCGTTCCCCGCTGCCACGTCCCAGAGTCCACTGGATGGCTGGAGAGGCGGTGGGCAGCCTGAAGGCGGGCTGAGGCATGAGCCAGCCCATGGCCTGGTCAGAGGGCCACCCGCGTGCAGCAGTGGCGCAGCAAGCATGGCAGGATGCCGCGGTTCAGCTGGTGGAACTCCACGAGCTGCAGCAGGTCAGTGAAGCGGGTCTGGCCATCATCCATGCTGAAGTACAGGCGGCCCTCCTCCTCGTTCTGGGGTACAGTAGAAGGGGGGGAAGGTCAGGGAGGGGCCCGAGGCTTAGGGAGCTCCCTCCTGGGCCAGGGCCCCACCCATTTCATTTTCTTCTTTTTTCTTTTCTTTTCTTTCTTTTCTTTTTTCTTTTTCTTTTTTTTTTTTTTTTGAGACAGGGTTTTCTCACTCTGTCATCCAGGCTGGAGTGTGGTGGTGCCACCATGGCTCACTGCAGCCTTGACCCTCTGGGCTCAAGCAATGCTCCCACCTCAGCCTCCTGAGTATCTGGGACTACAGGTGTGCACCACCATGCCTGGCTCATTTTTAAATTATTTGTAGAGATGGGGTCTCCCTGTGTTGCCCAGGCTGGTCTCGAACTCCTGGGCTCAAACCATTCTCCCACCTTGGCCTTCCCAAGTGCTGGGATTACAGGTGTGAGCCACCGCACTCAGCCTCCCACTTCTTGGGCAGGGAAAAGGGAGACGCACTAGGGGCCAGGGAGCCTCTGGAGGGGCCTGGTGAGGAGGACAGGTTGCTGGGAGTCCTGTGCCTCATTGTAGGACTCCGGGGACGCAGGGAAGCTCACCGGCAGGATGAGATAATGCTTCACTTTCTGCAGGTGGCACAAAGAGAGGACAAAGCCCTGGGGGTTCCGCTGACTCTCCCGGACCAGGAACAGGCTGCCAGAAGACAGGAGATAGGGCAGCATTACCCGAGGACCCATGGCTGCCACCTGGACCCCGGTCTCTCTTATCCCTGGGTCTGTTGCCCGGCCCTGCCCCTTACCCGTCTACTAAGCCCTGCTGTCCAATAAGCCGCTGGCTCTCCTCACGGGAAATGCGCCCGTGGAACCAGAGTTGGGTGCGGTGGATGGCTGCGGTGGGGAAGGACATGGGCAGTCACTTTGGGGAGGGGACCCACCCCTATACCATCTGCTCCCCACTGAGAATGCAAAGAGAAGTCGAGGCAGCCCCTGCCCCAGGACTCAGGGCCATCACACACCTGCACTGAGGCTCGTGCCGGAGGCCGGCGTAGGCAGGCTGAGGCGGTGGTTTGTCTTCTTCTGTGGAGCAGTGGGAGATATGGGAGAGTCGGGGTGTGCTTGCGGGCATTACCCAGCACCTCAGGAAGGTAGAGCACTTCTCCCCAGCCAGGGGGCCTCCCCCTGCCCCTCTTCCTCCCTCCTATTTCAGGGATCCCACCCAGAGAGTGGGTCCCCAGCACAAACACACAGGCAGCAGGCCTCACCCTCCAGGCGTGGGCCTCCTCCAGGGCCACACTCAGAGCCTCCCGGGGGTTCTCGATGACGCGCCCAGCATGGCCAGAGAAGTCCATGGCCACCAGGGTATTATCTGAGACACTTCTCTGGAGATGGAAGGCGAGGGGAGAGGTCAGAACAGGGCCCAGGTACCCCTAAGACAGGGCCTGCGTGCCCACCCTTCCATCCCCTTGTGCGCACTCACCAAGGGTGGGGAACCCAAACAAGGCGGACGCAGATGGCGAGACTGTGCCTGCTGGTAATTCCTGTACAGCTGCACCCCGTACTGGGGGTGGGGAGAGAAAGAGCGCTTGAGGTCGAGAGGTCCTGGGGGCGTGGCTGTGACCCCCCTTCAAACCAGGACTTGCCCAGACTAGGGCTGTGTTTCTGCCTTCAATGGGCGCTTCCTGTAACTTCAGGCTTGGACTGAGCGTTATCAGAGAGCAAGGCTGTGATGCCCTCCTAATTCCTGAGACTTCCTGGGGGCAGAGCTGGGAATCCCTCTGGCCAGGTCAGCCCCCCATGCCACTCCCAGGGTCTCACCTTGAAGAGGCGGAAGGCAGCCAGCCAGCAGGTGCGGCTCTGCTCATCTTCACTGCAGAAGATCCGAAGCCCCTTGTGGCCATTTCGAAGCTTGTTGGGCTGCGGAGAGAGGAAACTGGCTGGTCCCGTATCTGCCTTTGGGACCACATGTCTGTCCCTGCTCCACAGAGCACAGCAGGATCCAGGGAGTTTCCAGCAGGCCAGGGTGCAGGGAGAGGAGTCTGGGCATCTGAATTGGGACTCAGAAGCCCTAGGCAGGATCCAGGGGCCTGAGCAGTTCCTGCTTCCGCAGGCCAGGGGCCAGGCCTGGCCAGGTCTTCACCTTGACACAGAAGCCGAAGTCGGTGGGCATCCCGTAGAGCTTGCGGCCTTGCGTCACCACGTACACGTTGGACTCGTTCACATCTGCCACGTACTGCAGGTGCCTCGGATCCTGAGCAGCACGAGTGAGCAGGGCTTGGTACAGGTGGACCCCACCTGCTATTACCTCCCCCCACAAGCCAGGTGGGGAGATTTCAGGACCAGAGAGGGGCAGGGGAGTGCCCAGGGTCACATAGCAAATAGAAGTAGAGCCAGGACTTAAAAAACTCAGGTCATCTTTTCTCCTGCTACCTCCCTGGGCAGGTGAGCTGGGCAAGGATGTAGGGAGAGATGGTAAACTGGAGGTGGTTGGCCTGGGGGGCACGGCGGGAGAAGGGCTCAGGGGTTCCAGCAGAGAAGGGGCAACTTCTAAAAGGACCAGGGACTGCAGAGGCTGGAGCTGGCACTCTCAAGACCTCACCTTAGAGGTGCCCTTGGTGGAGTAATAGAGGCCAGATCGGCGCAAGAAGCAGAAAAAGCGTTTCCAAAGCTTCCGTCCTGAACCCCGCAGCTGCAGAAAGCCCTGGATCTCAGGGAAGCTGCCAGCATTCAGGAAGTTCTGAGCCAGAGAGGAGGAGAAGAGAGTGGGAGGTCTGACCTCCTCCCTTCCCCTCTACCACCAGGACGTCTTCTTTTTCTTTTTGAGATGGGGTCTTATGCGAGTGCGGTGGCATGATCACAGCTCACTGCAACCTCGACCTCCCGAGCTCAAGTGATCCTCCCACCTCAGCCTCCCAAGCACCTGAGACCAGGCTCATGCCACCATTCCTGGCCTTTTCCTTTTCTTTTTTTTTCTGGAGAGACAAGGTCTCACTATGTTGCCCAGGGTGGTCTCAAACTTCTGGGCTCAGGTAATCCTCCTGCCTCAACCTCCCAAAGTGCTGGGATTACAGGCATGAGCCACCACACCCAGCCCACCCTCAGGTTTTTATAAGGAAATGCTCCACATGCATTTCTCGCCCCCATTTAACAGAAGAAACTGATGCTCAGGCAGGGAAAGTGACTTGTCCCCAGTCACACAGGACTGTGGTTTGGCTCTTTCTACCACACAGAGGGGAGGCACAGGACCTAAGGGCGGAGAAGCACTGGTCAGTTCTGGGGAGTCGTGAAATGGGGGGGGGCTCCCCACCTGGATGAGGTCTTCATGGGATATACCAGTGTGTGCATCGAGACAGCTGGAGACCATTTTTTCTGGGAACAGGGAGTGCTGAGGGCAGAAAAGTGTCAGGGGTCAGGGCTCCAGTGTCTGGTTCAGGCTCAGGGCATCCCAGCGCCCAGACAGCCCTCACACACTCACTGGGGAGCTCTTGAACAGTTCGTACTTGGCGAAGTTTTTCCGGAAGACGAAGCGGCTATCTCCGCCCACGGGCCAGGCAGCCTGCACTTCCACCACGGACTCGTGGTCCTCCAAACCCCGCTCTGGGGTCAAGGGCAAAAAGCAGGGGTTATTGGAGATCAACCAGATCTCCCAGATGAGTCACATGACTAGCCCAAGATGCGAGACATCACCTCCCGGCCTGGGTAGTTCCATGCACCCGACTTACCCAGTGCCAGGTGGGGGTGGCACTCCACCAGCCCCCAGGTCTCGTCGCTCAAAGCGTGAGCTCGCTGCACCAGCATTTCACACACATGGCGAGCTGTGGCACCTGCCGCCACCTCCACAGACCTGCAGGCCCCGTCCTCACTGTACACCTTTACTACCTGTGCCCCAGGAATTGCAGATGACTTGAGGGGAGGCAAAGGGTGATTCCTTCCCTTTCCGCACCTGCTAGACCCTCAGGGACTCCTAACCAAGATCCCCCGCCTCCATGGAAATGGCTGTCTATCTCCCACAGATCCAGAACCCCTGCACCCCTCCCTTCCCTTCTGAGGGACAACTCACATGGGGGCGGCTGGCATCGCGGGGGAGCAGCCCTCTTGCACTAGAGGGGCCCCCAAGAATGGGGCTCTGTGAGGGAGGACTGCAGAGCTCAGGGAAGGGGTTGGGGATGGAGGGGAGGGAGGTGGCACGCCGCTCCTCCTCTCGAAGTTTCCTGTGGCAAGAAGAAAAAGGGAGAGAGGTGTGGGGAAAGGAGCAGTGGCCTGCAAGCCTCTGTGTATTATCCAGCACTGACCTCCCCCAAGCCCCACATCCCATCGTACCTGCCGGTGGTTGGGATGAGGAGAGGCTGGGACCTCTTTACTTCCTCAGGCAGAGGGGTATCAGGGGGCCGGGGAGTCCCAGGAGGGGTCCCGGGGGCTGGGCAAAGGTCTTCCGGAGAGCTGCCAAGATGAGGTGGAGACAGATCCAGCTCCATGGCATCTGAGGGAGAGAGGGGCAGAATGGAACCAGTTGTGTCAGTTGTGTGCCCTTGTCCTGGGGAGAGGGGACTAGAGAAATCAGACCTCCTGACCTCACACGGTGGTTAAGGTGCCCCTCAGAGTTTACCTAGCACCTCACTGCTCTAACTGGAGTTTCCCTGAAGCCCTTGGGGAAGGACAGAATGAGCCTCATTTTATAAAAGGGACACTGAGTCTCTGAGAAGGAAGCATTCTTACCCTCAGTCACAGGTGAGTCGGGGAGTAGAACCTGGTGCCCTGAGTCACAGGTGAGTCAGGAGTAGAACCTGGTGTTTAGACTCCAAGTCCAGTGCTCTTTCTGTTTTTTTTTTGTTTTTTTTTTTTTCACTGCAACCTCTGCCTCCTGGGTTCAAGCGATTCTCTTGCCTTAACCTCCCGAGTAACTGGGATTATAGGTGCATGCCACCATGCCCAGCTAATTTTTGTATTTTTAGTAGAGATAGGGTTTCACCACGTTGGCCAGGCTGGTCTCGAACTCCTGATCCGTCCACCTTGGCCTCCCAAAGTGCTGGGATTACAGGCGTGAGCCACTGCGCCCAGCTCCAGTGCTCTTTCTTTAGCACAAAGTTGCTCACAGGAAGAGCTGAGGGTCCACCCACCACAAGCCTGGTGGTCACAACAGATTTCACAACCCACACACTCTCAGGCTCAGCCCTCAGGGTCAGGGCAAAGGTCCACTCCTTTGCCTCCACGCGTGGGGCACTCACTGCTCCAGGCACTGCCCGGGTTTTTCCAGCACTGTGTTGCCAGACCCAGTTGCCAGAGCCTGTTCGTACCTGGTGAAGTTTGGCCTGCCCAAGGGATGAGTGATGCAGGGGGGAGAAGGAGGTGGGGAAGGATGGGAGCCAGAAAGTCAGGAGAGCCGGCTCCGCTTCAGTGCAAGGGGGAGAGCAGACCTGGGGTAGGCGTCCTGGCCACAGCAGCCCCTAAACCTTGCGTACCCTCCCCAGGCCATCCTCCTGCCCAACTCTTTCCTGAGGCTGCAATGCTAGAGCCACTTCCTCTGAGAAGCCTTCCTGGCTTTCCACATTCTGAGTGAACGACTCCCTCTCAGCACTGTGCAGGGGCTACATCATCCATTACTGCGCACCTGTCCTATCTACTCATTTGTCCAAGGGCACCCGGTACCCCCAGGCAAGGCCAATCTCACCCATGTCTTATCACTTACAGGGGCTGCACAGACACTCAGGACAAGTAAAGACAGGAGGGCCGGCAAAGGCGAGCACTAGAGGTGGAGGTGGGGCTGGCCCCTCCTCCTCAGGAACCAGGCAGACCCCTTTGGCTGGACTGAGACCTGGGAGAACCTGCAATCCCAGCCCCTAGCCTGTTCTCCGAACACTGGGCCAGTACTATGAGGCCACCTGGGACACCTGGGATTGACCCCTCAGGAGGGCGCAGGCACCTGACCCCTCAGTGAGGGCATCAGGGGATTTGGGGGACAGGTGAGTCAGGGCAGGCGGGACAACACTGCCTAGGGCTCTCCATTCAACCTTGACTCATCCACACAACTTCCTGGCTTAGGAGAAACAAAAACAGCCCTGCCGCTACCCTCCCCCCAACTCCCCAACCCAATGGTAGCCACAGCCGAATGGGGGAGGCATGGGGCTGGGAACAGGATGGGGGAGGAACATGTGGGGCCTGAGGCTCCTCTGACATCACCTCCTCCTCCCCACCCTCGGCCTAGCTCCAGGCCAGGTGGGACCTGTGATCTGCTCTCACCCCCAGTGCCAAACCACCGCCTTGCCAGGGAGTCCCTCACCTGGGAAAGAGAGAGGCAATGCCCGGCCTGGATTCAGAGGCCCATTTGGAGAGAAGCCAGCGTCCCAGCGGTGCCCCTCCCCACCCAAAGCATCCCTCAGAGCCCCCGCCCCGTGTGGATGAGGTTCCTCCCGACACATTCTCCTGGGTGTCCCGGCCAGAGGGGTACCACAGGAGCAGGAGCAGAAAGGGAAAACACTCAAAAAGACAGACAGACAGGATGAAAGGCCAGGGAGGGGGCCCAGGGTCCTGCCAGGAGGGGCAAGATATACCCACCACCCGCTAGCAAGAGACACCAGCACCTCAATATCAGAACACGATCCCCCACTCCCACCCCAGTCTACCCTCCAAACAGCCCCGGTCTCCAAACAGCCCTGGTGACTTCATTCCAGGTTGCAGGGGGCCAACAGTGGGGTGGGGAGAGGAGCAGAGAATTCAGGAGGGCAGCGCTTGGAAGGGGTTAGAAGTGGATTTGAATCACATTACAGCCTGGCCTCAGAGATCAGAGAGGGCCAGCCCAAGGCTGGGGTTTGCCTTCAGATCCCCCCACCCGGGCCCTTCAGCCCCTTCTAAGGCTGGAGGCGGGTGGAATCCTCAAGACCAAAGGGGTGAGCAGGGAGGGGAAGGGGTCCTGGCTGTAGGCCTGGCAGCTTAGAGATCTGGAGTTTTGAAACTGAGGCACCGGGAAAGTTTCGGTTGGAAAAACCGACCCCCAAAATCAGTTTGTCCCCTCAACGAGGTAACTCCGGCGGTGTCTTCCCAGCTGCCTCCTCCCCCAGTGGCTCCAGCCCCACCCGCGTTCCCGTCCTCCCAACCTCCTTGTTTACTTCCTGAATCTCGCCCCACCTGGCTGGCCCTAAGGGCGGGTGGCGGGGCCCGGTGTTCAGGGCCAACAGAAAACAACTCTACTTCCCAGAGTAGGGGGAAGGGCTTGCGGGACTGAGGCCTGGGCCAGGGGCCTGGATGTGGCGGGAGCGTCCCTGTCCGCCCAGTACTCCACGCCCCGCCCCCACGGGACAGGCTTATAACCTTTTAGGGTGCAGGGCCCAGGTGAGAAGGTGAGAAACCCCTGGATGACTCCTAATAGAAGGGAGGACCCAGGACTCTGAGGCCCCGCCCACTCTCACTCAGGAAAAATACCCAATGAGAGAAGGCGGGGCAGCTCTTTTACAGTTTAATTCGGGAAGAATGCTGGAGTGTCTGTGCGGTTAATCATTACAGGCTGCCTGCTTCCATGAGGTCCCCCCACCCCGCACACAGCAGGATATCAGGAGAGAGCAGAGTCCAAGACCGGCGGACCAAAAGGGAGCATTCCTGGTGGGCAGTGAGGCCGGAGCGGGGCGGCGAGGAGGGCGTCCACCTTGCCGGCAGGTGCATTCTCTGTCCTCAATCTGCCAGGGAGACCCAGACTGGGTACCTGGGTCTCTCCTTAGCCTTATCAAGCAGAGGAAACAATCTGCCATCCCCTACCCCACTCTCCCCAGGCCCCACCGCACTGCAGAGCCCCTCACCCACCCCTCTAGCCTTCCTGGCCACTTCATGCTGAAGCCAGGAGGGACCCCGGCTCACCCGGCCTCCACTTTCCCACCCGAGGGCCGGAGGCGGTGTTGCTGAGCAGGGCATACAGTCTGGAGAGATGGAGCCTCAACAATTTAGAGGATCCCTCTCCTTCACCGTCCTCCAAAGTGGAGGGGGCCCTCCCCACATCTCCCCGCAGCCCGCGGAGACGTCTGTCTTAGAGACTTGGGGAAACCCAAACTGGGGTAAACTGGGCGAGCCAGGGAGTGAGGGCGGCTCTCCCAGGGTGTGCGGGGAGGGGCCAGTTTCAGCGGGAAAGCCAAGTCGGAGGAGAGAATCAGGTCTTCCTTCCCATTCTCGCTGCTGGCTTCGGGGAGGTGTACCGGGAGGGAACAAGGAGGGCTGGAAACCAGGATGGGGACGAAAGAGGGCGGGTGGGGAGGAGGGGGCGGGGTGGGAGATGGGAGGAAAAGAGAAAAGTGGAAGGCCGAGCAACCCAGCAGGAGACCCAGCCTTTCCCTACCGGCCCCCAGACCGGCCGTGCCTGCCCCCAAAGGATGAATGCCCGCTTGGGTTCTTACCTGAACCCCGAACATCAGGCCACCCGGCTGGGACCACGTCTTCAGGGCGGGAGACGCCAGGCCCTTAAGTACCTGTCCCCCTCCAGCCCCCGCCCCGGGCCTGACATCACCGAGCGGGGGAGGGGGAGAGCCAGGTGGCTCCAATCCGCCCACCTGGGCCGACGGCCAGTTCGGCCGGAGACCGGCACAGCCTGGGGCCCTGGTGCGGCTGGGGGTTGCCTGGCAGGCTGTTGTCTTGAGACCGATCTCTGTCCCCTTACCTGGAGGAGCCCCAGCAGGAGTAGCAGGACACCCGTTCCGAAGTCTGGCTCCGTCTAGGAAACCCCAGATTCCTGGATTTTATTTCAGATCCACTCCCGCTTCTCTACAGGTGGTAGGAGGGTGTCCCGACTTCGGACAGAGAAGTCAGGGCCGGGGGAGCCCTGTGTGTCCAGATTCCAGGCCCAAGGAAACTAAAATTATCTTGGGCAGATGGGGGCGTGTCCAGGGGAGGCGCCTGGGAGGAGGAAGCCTGGGAGGAGGGGGGGGACTCCCTGACACTCTACGCCAACTGGGATTGTTTTTGCCCTTCCTAGCCTGACAGCAGGTGCCAAGAGAGGGTGCAGGTGCCTAGGAAGAGGCGGGGAAGACAGCCGAACAGACAGCACCAACAGCAAAGATCAAGAGTCCCGACCACCTGGGAGGGCGGGGGGAGGGTCTGAGGGCTGCAAGGTAAAGGGAACCACCCGTCCACTCCTCCCAGACATCCTCCCTGAACCTGGTCTGTTCATTGGCCAAGCCAGGGGGCACTTCTGCAGCTCTGGATCCCACCCCATGGGGCAAAGAGCACCCTGCCAAGGAGGGACGCCAGCCACGGGGGTGTCCAGCAACATGGCCTGCCCGTCGATCTGCAGGCACCCATACCATGGTGGCTGTGCCCTGGCCCCTCAGAGGCACCCAGGGTAAGCCCCTCCCCCGCCCCCCACCTTCTGAGCAAAGTCCAGAGTCTTGGCTTCCCCTTTAAAATCGAGGGGCTTAGGCTGGGTGGCACAGTGGGAGAAGCCATGGTGACCCAGAGAAAGCTCTGGCCTGGGCCCCTGGAGATTCCTCTTAGAGGGATCACTTTATTTTTTTGAGACAGAGTCCTGCTCTGTCACCCAAGCTGGAGTGCAGTGGCGCCATCTCGGCTTACTGCAAACTCCGCCTCCTGGGTTCAAAAGATTCTCCTGCCTCGGCCTCCCGAGTAGCTGGGATTACAGGCCACACACCCAGCTAATTTTTGTATTTTTAGTAAATCGGGGTTTCTCCACGTTGGCCAGGTTGGTCTCGAACTCCTGACCTCATGTAATCTGCCCACCTCGGCCTCCCAAAGTGTTAGGATTACAGGTGTGTGCCACCGCACCCGGCCTGAGGGATCGATTTAGTTCTCTCAGGGATCACTTTAGCTCTCTAGTTCAGCACTGGGCAAACAGGGTACTTGGGAGAAGGGTTGGGAGGCAGAAATCAAAGGCTGTGGCCACCACCCAGCTTGATGCAGGTGACAGGAAAACAAACAATCCTTAGGGTGATAAGAGGTCCACCATGGGGGGGCACAGAGGAGTGACTCCTGCCTCAATTTTCTCCAGAGTTTTCCTAGGAAAACCGGTATGAATGTGCCCAGCAAAGAAGTGGGGGAGGAGGCAAGGTCTCTTGGGTGATGGAGCAGCTTGTGCAAAGGCAGAGTAGACAATTCACTCATTAATTTATTCAACTCTCTGTTCAGTACCTACCATATGCCAGCCCCATGTTTGGTGCTGGGGATACTGGGGTAAGCAACAAAAACAGACCCCGTCCTATCCTCACACAGCCAATCAGGAAGATTGATGTTAATCAAAGAATCACACAAATAAGAAATGACAGGAGACAACTATGCTGGGAGAATGACTCATATAGGGAGTCAGGAAAGACTTCTCTGTGGAAGTGACAGCTGAGCAGAGGAGAAGCTGGCTGACATGGGAAGGGGGTTGGAATCAGTGGATGGGAACTGGGGAAGGAGGCCACCTTCCCAAGTGAGGAAACCACTGCCAGAGCTCTGGAGAGGAGGGGATGCAGCATGCGGAGACAGAGAGTGGGGTTGGAGGAGAAAGGAGGAAGCAGAGGCCACGTGGGTGAACCTGGACAGGTGTGGAAGGCGTGGAGAGAGGCGGCTATGCTTCTGCAAATGTGGCCTCCAGACCTCCCTAATCTTGTGTGGAAAACAGATCCTTGGGATCCTCTCCAGCAATTGAATCTCAGTCTGTGGGGCTAAGACACAGGAAGGTGTGGTATTGACAAGCCCTCAGGTGGCTGTTCCGCAAGCCAGGTTTGAGAGCCATCCATCCTGTTTGTCCAGATGGGCAGGAGTAGCGGTCAAAGACCAGACCCTTCAAGTTGTATTTAGACTTAAGTAGAAGCACAGAGGAGAGGGCACATTTACATTTTAGAAAGATCATCCTGGATGGTGAAGGATGGGATGGAAACAAAGCCACGGTCAGAGGGCTGAGTGCTGTAGAAATCAACTTATATGGCTTTCTGGAGGGGGTGGAACTGTGTGAACAAAAAGCAGGTCTGGGGTTGGGGAGGAGGGAGAGGGGTCCACAGTAGGGGGCACAGGGACTTGTGGGAGGTGATGGGACCATTCTGTATCTTGGTTGTGGGGTTGGATGCACAGCTGTGTGTGTTTCTTAGGACTCATAGAAAGGTACACTCAAGGCCGGGTGCGGTGGCTCATGCCTGTAATCCCAAGACTTTGGGAGGATGAAGTGGGCGCATCATGAGGTCAGGAGTTCAAGACCAGCCTGCCCGACATGGCAAAACCCTTTCTCTACTAAAAATACAAAAATTAGCCAGGCGTGGTGGCATGCACCTAAAATCCCAGCTACTCAGGAGGCTGAGGCAGGAGAATCTCTTGAACTCAGGAGACAGAGGTTGCAGTGTGCTGAGTGTGAGCCATTGCACTCTAGGCTGGGCGACAAGAGTGAGACTCTATCTCAAAAAAAAGAGAGAAAAAAAGAAAGGTACACTCAAGAGGATGAATTTCACTGTGTATAAGTTGTATCTGAATTTTAAAACAACAACAACAAGGCCGGGCATGGTGGCTCACGCCTGTAATCCCAACACTTTGAGAGGCCGAGGCAGGTGGATCACGAGGTCAGGAGTTTGAGACTAGCCTGGCCAACATGGTGAAACCCCGTCTCTGCTAAAAATATAAAAATTAGCTGGGCGTGGTGGTGTGCACCTGTAATTCCAGCTACTCGGGAGGCTGAAGCAGGAGAATTGCTTGAACCATGGAGGCAGAGGTTGCAAGGAGCCAAGATGGTGCCACTGCACTCCACTGCACTCCAGCTGGGGCGACAGAGCAAGACTCCATCTCGGGGGAAAAATAGTAATACTGATAAATAAGAATGAGTTTATAGGTCAATGGAACAGAATCCAGAGTCCAAGTAGAAACCCTTTTACATTTCTCAATTGATTTTACAGGGTGCCAAGACAATTTGATGGAGGAAAGGATAGGCTTTTCAATAAATGGTACTGTGATCAATTGAATAGCCACATGCCAAAAGGTGAATTTAGATCTTTTGCTCACAGGATGCATTAAAAAAAAACAAAACAAAACAAAACAAAAAACTCGATATAGATCATATACCTGAATGTGAGAGCTAAAACCATAAAACTTCTAGAAGAAACCATGGGAGATAGTCTTCGTGGAGGCCGGGCGCGGTGGCTCACATCTGTAATCCCAGCACTTTGGGAGGCCGAGGTGGATGGATCACCTGAAGTCGGGAGTTCAAGACCAGCCTGGCCAACATGGAGAAACCCCATCTCTACTAAAAAAAAAAAAAAAAAAAAAAAAGAATGTAGCCCAGGCATGGTGGCCATGCCTGTAATCCCAGCTACCGAGGAGTCCTGAGGCAGGGGAATCGCTTAAACCAAGGAGGCACGAGGCTGTGGTGAGCCAAGATGGTGCCATTGCACTCCAGCCTGGCAAGAAGAGCGAAATTCCATCTCAAAAAAAAAAAAAAGAAGAGGCCAGGCATGGTGGCTCCATACCTGTCAATCCAGCACTCTGGAGGCCGAGGCAAGGTGAAGTTGCTTGAGCCCAGGAGTTGAGACCAGCCGAGACAACCTGGCAGACCCCATCTCTACAAAAAATATAAATTTATCCAGCATGGTGGTGCGGGCCTATAGTCCTGGTCTACTTGGTGGGGCTGAGTGTGACAAATCGGCTTGACGCTAAAGAAGTGAGGCTGCAGTGAGCTGTGATTGTGCACTGCGCCTCCAGTCTGGGTCACAGAGCAGACCATCTGTCCTCAGAAAAAGAAGAAAAATGAAGCCAGGTGAAGTGGCTCATGCCTGGTGATCCCAGCACTTTGGGAGGCAGAGGCAA